GAAGGCCCCAGGGCAGCTCCCAGAGGCAAGTCAGCCACGAGTTACACGAGCTTCTCGGGGATTCCTCCTCTGCATCACCAGCTGGCAGCCTCCCACGGGCCTGTGAGCTCTGTCAGGCAGCAGTTTGGGTGTTCCTGAAAGGATGTCCCCCGAGCCTCTGCCACTATGGGGGCAGAAATGAGGCTCCATTGTCACCCTACAGCCCAAGCAATGTGGGTAATTGCCCTGAGGCACCCAAAATCCACCCCCTTGTCAGGTGGGATAGCCCTGCGGTGGCTGAATGCCTCTCTGACCGAGATCCGGGGACACCCCTAAGTTGGATGCAGTTACCACCCACAAAACGGGACTTCATTCTCTGGATACCGCCACCTTTTGTAGATATAATGTCACTTTTATTGCTGATCTGCTCACTTTGGAGTTTTTAAAGTAAGAGCAATGAAAGAGAATGGCAGAGGAAATTAATAAGCTAACTTCTGTAGAACAAAAGAAAGCAAAATGGAGGCTGGGCACGGTGGCTCACGCCTGTAATCCCAGCACTTTGGGAGGCCAAGGTGGGCGGATCACCTGAGGTCAGGAGTTTGAGACCAGCCTAGCCACGATGGGGAAACCCCGTCTCTACTAAAAATACAAAAATTAGCCGGGTGTGGTGGCGCACACCTGTAAGCCCAGCTACGTGGGAGGCTGAGGCAGGAGAATCGCTTGAACCTGGGAGGCAGAGGTTGCAGTGAGCTGTGGTCATACCATTGTACTCCAGCCTGGGCGACAAGAGCGAAACTCTGTCTCAAAAAAGAAGAAAGAAAACAAAATGGAAAAAGGAGAAAAATTATCTTAAAATAACTATCAGGCTGAGTACAGTGGCTCATGCATGTAATCCTGCCACTTTGGGAGGCAAAGGCAGGTAGATCACCTGAGGTCGGGAGTTCAAGACCAGCCTGGCCATCATGGAGAAACCTCGTTTCTACTAAAAATACAAACATTAGCAGGGTGTCTGGCTAATTATCGTGGGTTTTTTTTTCAGCTCAAAAACAAAACCCGCAAACTCTCAATAGAGATCAAAAAACAAAAAAGTTTTAGTTACATGAGCTTTATAACCAGCTAAAACCTGTATCCTGTTTTCTGTTATGAATTTACCATAGACTGATGTGGCATTTAGAAGCAGATTTCTAAGTTAAGCATGTAGCATTTTCTTTCCTTTTTCTTTTTTCTTTTTCCCTTTTTTTTTTTTTTTTTTTCTGAGAGGGAACCTTGCTTTGTCTCCCAGGCTGAAGTGCGGTGGTGTGATCTTGGCTCACTGTAACCTCTGACTCACAGGTTCAAGTGATTCTCCTCCCTAAGCCTCCCAAGTAGCTGGGATTACAGGTGTGCGCCACCACACCCGGCTGATTTTTATAATTTTGATAAGAGATGAGGTTTTGCCATGTTGGCCAGGCTGGTCTCCAACTCCTGACCTCAAGTGATTGGCCCGCCTCGGTCTCCAAAAGTGCTGGGATTCAGGCGTGAGCCTCCGCACCTGTAGCATTTTCTAGTAAATCATTTTGGTAGTGTTTATAGCATAATTGCAGGTCAGAGAACATACACCGTGTGGTTCAGAGCTTTGAAATGTGTTGAGACTTGCTGTACGGCCCAGATCTCGTCAGGGTCTTTTAAAATTTATTTATTTTTTTGAGACGGAATCGCACTCTATCACTCAGGCTGCAGTGCAGTGATGTGATCTCAGCTCATTGTAGCCTCCACCTCCTGGGTTCTAGTGAGTCTTTTGCCTCAGCCTCCCGAGTAGCTGGGATTACAGGCACACACCACCACATCCAGCTAATGTTTGTACTTTTAGTAGAGACGGGGTTTCACTATGTAGGCCAGGCTGATCTTGAACTCCTGCCCTCAGGTGATCCATCCTCTCTAAGTGCTGGGATTAGAGTCGTGAGCCACCGTGCCCGGCCTCTAGTCAGTTCTGTACACGTGCACACGTGCCACTGCGTGCTCTGCAGTTGTTATACGTAGTGTTCTCTATCTGGCAAATGGGAAAGTTTGTTAACTGAGGTTTTCAAATATTCTATGTCATTAGTGGTTTTAAGTGATTTTTTCGTCTTTGTCTTCTCACTGAGAGAAGTAAGTTAAAAACCTCCTATGTTGACTGCAGATTTATCAGTGACTTCTCTTGGTGATCTTGATTTTGGCTTTATAGATTTTGAGGCCAGGTTGTTAGGTGCGTACAAAGTTAGAGTTGATTTATCTTCCCAGCAAACTGCCTGTTTACATTATGAAAGTCCTCTTTATCTCTGATAAGGATTTTTTGCCTTAAGTCTGCTTTGTCTCGTGTTAACATAGCGATACCCGTTTTCTTTTGTTTGGTATTTATATGATGTATTTTTTTATCCTTTTACTTTCAGCATTTTCTGTATCCTTATATTTCAGGTGTAATATAAGCAGTGTGTTAATAGTTGTTTTTCTAAAGTCTAGGCTACTTTGTAATTGAAGTTATCTTTCAAATGAGCATCTTGGGTTAGTTACAGTCTTGTTTTCTGATTCTTCTTACATGTATTTAAACGTGACAGTTTGACCCTTACCTCTGTAACACCTACACCCAGAAGTAAGTTTAATGGTCACACGGAGTCTGTTTCCTTGAAAATTTTGTGGTTCCCAGTGTGACTTTTTAGCCTGTGTCTGATGATTCCATGTTCTGTTGCCACTCTTCCTTGCTTCTGTTGGTTTTCAAGCATACTACCTTGTGTCCTCATAGCCTTGGCTATTTTTTATTGAGTGCTAGACATTGTATTGAAAAACTAGAGAGCATTTGAAACTAGAGTGAGGGCCAGGTGTGGTGATTCATGCCTGTAATCCCTGCACTTTGGAAGGCCAAGGGCGGGTAGATCACCCAAGGTCAGGAGTTCGAGGCCAGCCTGGCCAACGTGGAGAAACCCCATCTTTATTAAAAATACAAAAAATTAGCCAGGCAGGCATGGTGGGTCAGGCATGGTGGGTGCCTGTAATCCCAGCTACTTGGGAGGCTGAGGCAGGAGAATCACTTGAACCCGGGAGACGGAGTTTATAGTGAGCTGAGATTGTGCCACTGCACTCGAGCCTGGGCAACAAGAGCAAAACTCCATCTCAAAAAAAAGAGAAAAAAGAAAAAGAAACTGGAATGGGGATGTCATTATCTTCTGTGTTTTCTGCTGGCAGCCACTAGGTAGGAGCAGTTGCCATACCGGAGCACTTTGATGCAGCCACAGGCTTCAGTGTGGCCACAGGCTTCGGTGCAGTCACAGACTGTGGTGTTTCAAAGCTGGGCTTCCAGTCCTACAGGGTGGATCTTTTTCGTTTTTACTGTTAGTGTAAACCCCTCAGGGTCCCAAGCAAAAGCCGAGGAACAACCCCTTGACAGTCCATGAACCCTAGCTGCTGCTGTTGTTGTTTTTAAAGATTGAGTCTCACTCACCAGGCTAGAGTGTAGTGGCGTGATCTTGGCTCACTGCAACCTCCGCTTCCCAGGTTCAAGCGATTCTCCTGCCTCAGATTCCAAGTAGCTTGGGACTACAAGTGCCTGCCACCACGTCCAGCTAATCTTTAAATTTTTAGTAGAGACGGGGTTTCACCATGTTGGTCAGGCTGATCTCGATCCCTTGACCTCGTGATCTGCCCACTTCAGCCTCCCGAAGTGTTTGGATTACAGGCATGAGCCACCATGCCCAGTCCAGCCCCATGAATCAAGAAAGCTTTGAGGCATCCTGAGACTCTCCAGGTCAGGGGTGATGAATGGGGCGTGGCACCACCTGCTGACAGGGCTGAAGAGTGCCAAGGAGGGCAAGGGCTTCAGGTACCTGGCAGCCATGACCCGACTGCACACTCAGCCTCCACTGTGTCTTCTGGAACCGGCTGACAGCCGTGTGAGGAAACAAACACCCGCCTCTCTTTCGCAGATTCTGTCTTATCCTTGGTCGTGACGCTCAAACTCTGTTTTGCCTTGCACCAGTCCAGTGCCTTCAAACAGATGTTCTTTTATATTCTGCCTCATTTTTGTAGGTGTTTTCAAGGGAGAGTTGCCCAGCCCGTCCTTAGGGGAACTAAGATTCTGACACTGCCGTTGGCTGCCTTATTTTAAAGTAGCAGCATCAGGCCAGTTGCGATGCTGGGTTTTGTTTTTTCATGCAGGCAATTAAGGATTAAATCTTGTCTTATAAAGTATAACATTTACATCCAAAAATAAGAGCCAAATACTTACCTGAATCGAGCTGGTTCCCAGAACTTACAAGCCTAACGGGTCTTGTTCTTGGCCCTTGCCTTGCTTGACCTCCGTGCAGGGATTGATGCTTTTCCCGTAGAATGAGACGTGCAGTTCCGATGAGTGTTAATGGCAACAGGAACAAGGAACAACTTTGCCAGCTCTTTTTTTCTTTTTTTTTTTTGAGACGGAGTTTCACTCTTGTTACCCAGGCTGGAGGGCAATGGCGCGATCTCGGCTCACCGCAACCTCCGCCTCCTGGGTTCAGGCAATTCTCCTGCCTCAGCCTCCTGAGTAGCTGGGATTGCAGGCACGCGCCACCATGCCCAGCTAATTTTTTGTATTTTTAGTAGAGATGGGGTTTCACCATGTTGACCAGGATGGTCTCGATCTCTTGACCTCGTGATCCACCCGCCTTGGCCTCCCCAAGTGCTGGGATCACCGGGATGAGCCACTGCGCTCGTCTTTGATGTGGTGAGCATCACAAGGCGACTTTCACAGCGTCCTCGTTTAAGCAACTGCACCCCATGATCTCTTCCGCTGCTGTTGTACCAATCGCTTGGTGCGGCTCTTCCTGCTCCAGATCCTCAGCAGCCACCTCCAGTTCGAGGTGTCCCACGGGCCCTCCGGCGTGGAGTCCATGGTGCTGTCCGGGTTACGGGTGGCCTAAGGGGAATGGCACCACCTGCTGATCGAGCTGAAGAACGTGAAGGAGGACAGTGAAATGAAGCACCTGGTGACCATGACCTTGGACTATGGGATGGACCAGGTGAGCTGGCACCTGCCCTCCTTTGGGGACAGACCCTTCCTCTGGCCCAGGGAAAAACAGAATGACCCCTTAATGTGCCAGGACCCGCCAGAGATCTTGTGGATGTGGGGAGGCACTTTCTGGGACCCTCAGTGGGCTTCTGTTCTGCCCCGTGCTGAGGCCACTGGCATCTTCACCTCCTCCTTCACCCAGATGCGGCCCTCCTGTGGGCAGCTTCCTCCAGCGGCCTTTCTCATCACAGTGCTGTGGGCGCCCTCAGCCGTGGTTGCTTTCAGCCTTGCCATCTTGAGCAATGCCTGCAGCCTCAGCACTGTGTCTTTAGGGTACTGAGGTGAACATGCCAGGGCCCAGGAGGCCTAGGTGGGTGGATCATGAGGTCAGGAGTTCGAGATCAGCCTAACGTGAAACCCCATTTCTATTAAAAATTCAAAAACTAGCCGGGTGTGGTGGTGCGTGCCAATAATCCCAGCTACTCAGGAGGCTGAGGCAGGAGAATCACTTGAACTGGAAGGCGGAGGTTGCAGTGAGCCGAGATTGCACCACTGTACTCCAGCCTGGGCGACAGAGCGAGATTCCATCTCAAAAAAAAAAAAAGAAATTCCAGGGTCCGTGCCCTCAAGAGTATGGATGGGGAGCAAAGCTGGGAGAGCAATAAGGCCCAGGTCCTGGACAGGGCTGGGAGACACCAGGGGGCCCCACGTGTCCCAGGCAGGCAGGTGGCGTGGTCCCAGGCAGTGTTCAGAACACTTACGGAACCAGACTGGGTTTCCACAGTTCGCAGGCGGGTAACCCAGGATGTTGTCTATGAGATGCTCACACACCTGAGGGGGGCTCCCTGGGATTTCCAAGAGCTCTTGGAGCCAAAGCTCACGTTACAACACAGACCTGGGAATAAATGGGTGTGTTCCAGGCACCTGCCTTTCTGGGACAGGAGCTCAGCCGAGACACTCTTGGGTTCCCACAGTATTCATGGGTGAACGGATTTCTGCCCCCGCAGTCTTCCTGATGCTCCAGCGTGGCTGGTTTAGGGTTGCGCCCTTCACGGAGGCAGGAGAGTTATGCACTTTCCCCCACCGGCCGCCTCAGCTGGGCTGGGACCTGGACGCCATCCTCTGGCCTAGTCCCCTCGCCCTGGTCGTCACAACCAGCCACGCTGTCCAGCTGGGCCCGGATGTCCTCAGGCTCTGGGGAGTTTGTTGAAGCCACTGTTTCAGGCTTCCCGTGTGTTTTCCCAGCTGGAAGATATTTCTAGGATGGTGGACGCAGCCCCCAGAGCTCTGCCCCCTCTCTCCACACAGAGCAGGGCAGATATCGGGGGCATGCTTCCCGGGCTGACGATAAGGAGCATGGTGGTCGGGGGCACCTCTGAAGACAAGGTGTCCGTGTGCCGTGGGTTCCGAGGCTGCATGCAGGTACGTGGGAGTGGCGGGGGCTGCCCCTCACAGGCGGCTCGGAGGCTGCCAGCCCTGCAGTTGGTGCCGTCAGTCAACCTGTTAGCTTTCAGTGAGCGGACAATGTGTCTGATTGGCACCCCCACTTTAACAGCCCCTGTTTCCTCTTTAGACCCATCCCCCTGAGGTTCCCCTTGGCATCGGGGTGTCCCTGGCCCCCACAGCTCCTCACTGCCTTGCCATGTTAGCCACCTGCCCCTCTGCCTTCACAAAGTGTCCTGAATCGAGCCCACCCAGTTCAACTCCACATGGCACCCAAGTGGCCCCCATGCCTATGCCATGGAGCCAGGTGCTCCAGCTCCAGCCGGGGGAGCTGCTCTGAGAGTCACTCAGCTCTCAATCCCCTCAGCAGGGACATCTCCTCACACCCCAACTGCACACCCCAGGAGATCTGGCCAGCATGCCCTCTGAGCTCCTTGCCCAGCTCTGCACTGCACTCCGGCTACCAGGAGTGAAAGGAACAACCCTGCCCATCCCAGCCTGTAGATAAATGAGGTGTCACCAATGAATGCATTGCAAGTGACCAGAGAGACCTCTGAGTTCCCTTAGCCCCTCCTCACCTTTCTGGGCTTCTCCCATCCCAACGCCCTTTCCTTGATGCAGGGAGTGAGGATGGGGTGATGCCCACCAATGTGGCCACCCTGAACATGAACAACGCCCTCAAGGTCAGGGTGAAGGACGGCTGTGATGTGGAGGACCCTTGTACCTCGAGCCCCTGTCCCCCCCACAGCCACTGCCACAATGCCTGGGAGGACTACAGCTGCGTCTGTGACAGAGGTGGGACCTTCAGTGACAGGGACTCCTCTCATGGCTGAAACACAGGACGGGGCTCAGTTTGGACATTGATGTCCCCAGCCGATTCCCTGTGGTTCCGTGGAGTGCTGAGCTTTATTTTATAACAAGTGGGCCCCTCCTGGAGACAGACTCAGCCTCTTCCTTACTGGAGGCACAGGGAGTGGTCTAGGCCCTCTCCTCAGCACATGAGGTGACAATCTGGGTGCGGTGGCTCATGCCTGTAATTCCAGCACTTTGAGATTCAGAGGTGGGCGGATCACTTGAGGCCAGAAGTTCGAGAACTGCCAGGCAACATGGTGAAACCCTGTCTCTACCAAAAAAATACAAAAATTAGCCAGGTGTGGTGGCATGCACCTGTGGTCCCAGCTACATGGGAGGCTGAGGTGGGAAGATCACTGGAGCCTGGGAAGCAAAGTCACAGTCAGCTGAGATCACGCCACTGCACTTCAGCCTGGGCAACAGAGAAAGACTCTGTCTCCAAAAACAAACAAAAAAGCCTAGTGAAAAGTATACATTAAAAAAAATTGGCCGGGCACTGTGGCTCACGCCTGTAATTCCACTATTCTGGGAGGCCAAAGACAGGCAGATCATGTGAAGTTGGGAGTCAGCTCATCCGTTGACGGATGCCTGGGTCATGTCCACCTTTTGGCCTGTGTGAATGGTGCTGTTGTGAATGTGGGTGTGCAAATATCTGGGTCCTTGCTTTTAGACTTTTGGGTGTAGAGCCAGAAGTGGGCTTGCTGGGTCATGTGGTAAATCCTATGACCTAGCCTGGCCAACATGGTGAAACCACGTCTCTACTAAAAATAGAAAAAGCAACCAGGCATGGTGGTGCGCGCCTGTAGTCCTAGCTACGCTGGAGGCTGAGGCAGGGGAATCACTTGAACCTGGGAGGCAGAGGTTGCGGTGAGCCAAGATCGGGCAACTGCACTCCAGCCTGGGTGACAGGAAACTGTCTCAAAAAAAAAAAAAAAAAATCAGCAGCTAGGCCTGTTTCCTCATCTGTGAGTGGAGTCTTTGGAAGACAGTCTGCAGTGACTCACCCATTGCTCCCAGGGGCCAGGTCCCAGGCTTGGGAGATGTTGGGCCATGATCTTGGGTGTCCAGCAGGCAGGTCCTCCAGACCCTCAGGAGTGAGGCTCTAGAAGGGTGGGTGTCATGGGTCCTGCCTCCCTCCAGGCTCACTGCAGACAGGTGTATGTACACGTGGGGTGCAGGAAGCTGGAAATCGATTCTGTTCTCAAGATGGTCAGTCAACCAGGCATGGTACTTTGCGCCTGTAATTTTAGCAGTGTGGGAGGCCAAGGTGGGCAGACTGCTTGAGCCCAGGAGTTCGAGACCAGCCTGGGCACTGTAGTGAGACCCCTTCTCTATTAAAAAAATAAATAAATTAGCCAGGTGTGGTGGCATGCTCTTGTATTCCCAGCTACTCAGGAGGCTGAGGTGGGAGGATTGTTTGAGCCCAGGAGATTGAGGCTACAGTGAGCTGAGATTGCACCACTGCACTGCATTCTGGGTGAGAGAGTGAGACCGGGTCTCAAAAAATAAATATAAATAAATAGGCTGGGCACAGTGGCTCGTGCCTGTAATCCCAGCACATTGGGAGGCTGAGGCAGGTGGATCACTTGAGGTCAGGAGTTTGCGACCAGCCTGGCCAACATGGCGAAATGCCACCTTTACGAAAAACACAAAAAGCAGCCAGGCGTGATGGTGCACACGTGTAATCCTAGTACTCAGGAGGCTGAGACAGGAGAAGTGGCTGAAGCTGGGAGGCAGAGGTTGCAGTTAGCCAAGATCACGCTGCTGCACTCCAGCCGGGGAGACAGCGTGAAACTCCATCTCAAAAAAATACTAATTTAAAAAAATTAAATAAATAACTAAGGCCAGCCAATCAGTGGGACAGTTGTATTCATTTTGAAAACAGCGACGGGGCACAGTGGCTCATGCCTGTAATCCCAGCACTTTTGGAGGCTGAGGCGGGTGGATCACGAGGTCAAGAGATCGAGACCGTCCTGGTCAACATGGTGAGACCCTGTCTCTACCAATAATACAAAAAATTAGCTGGGCATGATGGCGCGTGCCTGTAATCCCAGCTACTCAGGAGGCTGAGGCAGGAGAATTGCCTGAACCCAGGAGGCGGAGGTTGCAGTGAGCCGAGATCGCGCCATTGCACTCCAGCCTGGGTGACAAGAGCGAAACTCCATCTCAAAAAAAAAGAAAAGAAAACAGCAAGGGTTCAAGGAAGCTGTGGGGGTTATGTCTGATTAAAGGAACTGTCCCCCCAGTTCTTGCTGTCGACATCTTTGACAAGCTGAACTTCACGGGAGCCACAGTGCCACGGTTCGACGCCATTCAGGAAGATTTCCCCAGGGAGCTGCAGTCCTCCGTCTCCTTCCCAGCTGACTTCTTCAAACCACCCGAAGAAAAAGGTAAAAGCTCTTAGAAACCTGCTGCTGCCCTCGACACCCCCAGAGTTCAGGGAGCGGGGACCCCCTGCAGCATCCCAGGATGGTGAACACACCATGTTCTGGGCACTGAAGATCCAGGGCTGGGGTGTTCTGAGTGTTGGCCAGCGCCAGGTCCCATTGGTGGCTGCGGGTTGTTTCAAACAAGCGCTCAGGTACAGGTTGAGCACCCTGATCCTGAGATCTGAACTGCTTCAGAATCTGAACCTTCTGGAGCACCAACCTGACGCTGGAAGGAAGTGCTCGTTGTAGCATCAGTATGAATACTTAAAAAAAAAATCCAGGCTGGGCACAGTGGCTCATGCCTGTAATCCCAGCACTTTGGGAGGCCGAGGTGGGCGGATCACCTGAGGTCTGGAGTTCGAGACTAGCCTGGCCAACGTGGTAAAAATACAAAAACTCTACTAAAAATACAAAAACTAGCCAGCTGAGGTGACAGGCACCTGTAATCCCAGCTACTCAGGAGGTGGAGGTATGAGAATAGCTTGAGCCCAGGAGGCAGAGGTTGCAGCATTGAGATGCACCAGCCTGGGCTATAGACTGAGACTTTGTCTCAAAAACAAAAATCCAACATGTTCCTACGCATTTCAGCTGAGGGATACTCAGCCACGTGACTGATAATGTGAACACGAAAACAACTGAAATTTGTGTGTACACTGGTCTTCGGTGTGCAGTGAAAAGCTGCTGCTAGCTGGGTACGATGGCTCACACCTGTAACCCCAACACTGGGAGGCTGACATGGGGAGGATCGCTGGAGCCCAGAAATTCAAGACCAACCTGGGCAACATAGGGAAACCCCATTTCTACCAAAAAAGTTTTTTTTTTTAATTACCTGGGCATGGTGGTGTCCACCTGTAGTCCCACCTACTCAGGAGGCTGAGGCGGGAGGATTGCTTGAACCCAGGAAATGGTGGCTGCAGTGAGCTGTGGTCATGCCACTACAGCCCAGCCTCTGCAACAGAGAAAGAACCTGTGTGGGGGGTTGGGGGGTGAAAGGCCGCCTTTAAATAGAAATAAAAATTTTAGAGTCACCTTCCCCTCCCTGAAAGAAACAACCACAAAACCCGAACCAGAATGCCGTCTGTGTATGTACAAATCCTCAGTCCTGGGTTGAGATAGGTGATACGAAACGGTATAAATGTTTCGAATTTTCCTAAGGTGCTTTTTCACAGATCCATGACAATCACTAAAAACATCCCAAAATAGAAAGGACGTGAAAAGGTAAACCCCTTAATGGACCGTTTAGAATCGGAAACCTTGTGACTAAAGCGATTTTGTCAGGTATATCTCGTGTCATAAAAAGAGGGGTGACTGATACGGGGCTGTGCCTGAAACTGAGAGGATGAGGTTTGAAACTGACTAGCCCCCAGCTGCAGCCAGCTCTCCCTGGAACTAATAGAGAACTTGCTCATTACCAATGGGAGGTACCAAGCCATTCATGGGGGATCCACCCCTGTGACCCCCAACACCCCTGACCATGTGCAGGTCTAATGCTGATCACATTTCAATGTGAGATTTGGAGGGGCCAGACATCCAGACTATATCAGATACATTCATGTTGAAGCAGTCCACCTCCAGAACTCTCTTCATCCTGCAGATCTGAAACTCTAGCCCACAAAACACCAACACCCCTCCCCAGCCCTAGTGCTCACCGTGCTTGCTTTCTCTGCATTGGACTCCTCTAGGGAACTCCTATAGGTGGAATCACGCAATTATTTGTTGTGATTGTCTTATTTCACTGAGCGTAATGTCCTCTAGGTTCACCCATGTCGTGGTGTCAGACTTTGCTTTCTTTTGAAGGCTAATATTCCATTGTGTGGATGGACCGCGTGTGTTTATCCTCTCACGTGTTGACGGATGCCTGGGTCATGTCCATCTTTTGGCCTGTGTGAATGGTGCTGTTGTGAACGTAGGTGTGCAAGCATCTGGGTCCCTGCGTTCAATCTTTTGGATGTAGAACCAGAATCGGGCTTGCTGGGCCATGCGGTAAATTCTATTTTTGATTTTTTGAGGACCTGCCATACTGTTTTCAGTGGAACATCTGTTGGTTTGTGAGAAACGCCTGCTGGCCTGACCTCGGCCTTGGAGAATGCAGGTGTTCCCACCAGAGTCCTCACGCTCTGCTCACGTTGCAGAAGGGCCCCCTGGGGAGGCCGGCCGGCCGGAGGACCACCCCGCAGACCACGCGCCCGGGGCCGGGCACCGAGAGGGAGGCTCCGATCAGCAGGCGGAGGCGACACCCTGATGATGCTGGCCAGTTCGCCGTCGCTCTGGTCATCATTTACCGCACCCTGGGGCAGTTCCTGCCCGAGCACTATGACCCAGACCGCCGAAGCCTTCGGTAAGGCCTGAGCATGGGGGCATGGGGACATGGGGAGGGTCCATTTCAGAGGTCCCCAAGGCTTCCACAAGTCAAAATTCTGATCTTGATCAAGCACAGGTCTTCACAGCAGCATTTCACCGGGACCCTGGCCCAGAGACAGAGACCACTGTCCTGTGGTGTCCCTTGGAGGGAGGTTCTGGGTCTGCCACTGGATGCCATCCCCTGGAGCACCATACACCCTTTGCCTGGGCTTATCCCAGTGCTTCTGCCAGAAATGCCCCCTCCCCAGCATACGCCCCATCTTGTGCCCCGAGGGACCCCATGCTGTCCCCACACACCCTACCTGAGGCTGTCGTGGGTGGTGCCTTGCTGCTGGCCCCAGGGCTTTAGGGCTGCTCAGCCCATCCCGGCTGGAAAGGATGGATGTCGGGAAGCAGCTTTGTGGCCCCCTTGGTGGGAGCAGCCCGAGCCTCTGCCCTTCTTCCTCCTGCAGTTTCCCAGACACTTCCCTGACTCGGGGGTCCTCGTGATCATGTGGTTCTCAGTGACCAGGTGATTCACCCCCGGGAGCTGCCACTATTCTGCTGTCTTTGGACATTTAAGCCACCACCTGTTTGTCTGCCGTTAACTGTTTCGGCTGTAATGTCTTCGCACCTGTGCCTTCTGTTTCTTTTTGAATTTCTGACCCGAAGATGACACATCTCCCTGTGGGCTGTGTCAGTGATAAAACCTGCACATTGTGCAGGGGGATGAAGACATTGTGGGGCCTGCGGCTCCGAGCTCTCTGCGTGTGATTCTGTGTACCCTGGAGACACATCTGTGGCATGTCCTCAGGGCGTTTGTATGGGATTTCAGTGAACGTTTCCTAATCGTGTCTGTCCACATGCTCTGGCTTCTTGACCTCAGGCTGCCTCACCGGCCCATCATTAATACCCCGATGGTGAGCACGCTGGTGTACAGTGAGGGGGCTTCGCTCCCAAGACCCCTGGAGAGGCCCGTCCTGGTGGAGTTTGCTTTGCTGGAGACAGAGGAGCGAACCAAGCCCGTCTGCGTATTCTGGAACCACTCCCTGGCATAAGTGCGGCACCAGGAGTCCCACATCCCCATGTGAGGGCTTTGCCAAGGCAGGGAGCACCACAGGGTCGGGGGATCAGTGGCAGAGCATCCCATGAGGATGGTCCCTTGTGGTTTGTGTCTCCCCTTCCAGCCCCTTGTGGGGCAGTCAGCCTCCTGCTCTGCTTCTGTGGGAGCATCAGAACCCCCCAGATGCCCACACACAGACGGACACAGACCCGCACATGGAGACGCAGACATATAAACACACATGCAGGCCCACACACAGATGCACACCCACAGGTGAACACACAGATGCGCACACACAAGTGCACACCCACAAGTGCACATACACAGATGCACACCCACAGGTGCACACACAGATGCGTGCACACAGGTGCACACCCACAGGTGCACACACACATGCACACCCACACATGCACACACACATGTGCATGCACACATGCACACCCACACATGCACACACACAGGTGCATACCCACAGATGCACATGTGCAGATACACACAGATGCACACACACAGGTGCACGCAGACCCACATGTGGAGAGGCAGACATGGAGGTGCACAGAGAGATCCCTCAAGGCTGACACCCAGGAAGGGGCTCCTCACCTGCAGGACTCCCAAGATGCAGCAGCCACACTAGTGTATTGGCCAGTTCACTGCTGGATAAGACAGAGACCTGTTCACACATGGGAGGGCAGACCCAGAGATTGGGCCCAGGAGCCCTTCTGCTGACAGTGGGAACCCCTAGCTATGTGTGTGGTCCCCATAACAGACAAGGGCCCCTGATCCTAGTCTTGCCCAAGAGGCCGACACAGCCCAGCTTTGGGGACTGGCTTTACCCCCAAGTGGCCACATCTGGCCACAGTACAGGCCAGAAGCAGCATCAGAGAGCCAGCCAGCAGAGTGGTGAAGGCGGGAGGTGGTGTGCCCGAGTCTGTGTTTCAGTGTGTGTTCCAGTGAGGGAAAGGTGTTTTATAGTTAGAAAAAGCAGAATGATTCTCACCCACACGTGAGAGTGGGTTCAGACTCGCGTGGCTCAGCTCTCCTGGGAGCCGGTGGTGTTTGTGCTTCACTTTGCCTTTTTAGCTGCAGGGTTTATGTGAGGCCTTGACTTCTTTGAGTTGCTCTGTCTTTACCAGGAGCTTGCTTCTACTCTGCTGGTTCGTTTTCACTTTTGCTGTCTCTGTTTAGAAGAAAACACTAGAACTGGGGAGTGGTGGGAGGATGGGAGCACAAGCTGGTGGGGAGACCTGATGTGTCTCCACATACTGGGAGGGAGTGCCAGGAAGGGGAGACACCAAGCAGGACTTGGGGAGTCAGAGCGTGAGCACCCCCAGGCTCAAATCGGCTGAACGTTGTGTATCTGGGGGTGTCTGTGCAGCGGGAACACTCCCCCCTCCCCCCACCACCGTTCTTCTGGGCAGAGTGGAGAGCCATGAGTGGCGGCTGTGGGGGGGTCATGCCATGGTGAGCGAGCTCATGCCAGGAGCCTGTTCAGCCCAGCCTTCTTCTCCTGCTTCTGTGCCTTCCAAGTCCTAGTTAGTGAGCAACCAGCACAGCACCTGGAATGCAATAGGCGCTTGGCTTATAAAGGGGAGACCAAAGGAGCCCCTTTCACCATGAGGGACGTCGGGCCAGCTGTCTGTCCCGGGCCTTCATCTGCACCCTGGCTGTTAGCTCTGGCTCTAATGCCCTGCTCTCTGCTTTATGCTGTACCTGTTATTCCCAGATTGTAAAGTTTATGGCAGAGATATTAATGTTCATGTCCCATTTTATAGGTGAGCAAACTAAGGATCTGAGAGGTGGTGTGATTTTCCCAGAGTCTGGGAGGGCAGGGCCCTGTCTGAAGCTGAGGCACACCTCATAACAGCTTGCTATCTGGGGCTTCCCATCAGGAAAGCCCATCTGGGCAGCTCCCATAAAACATTGTTCAATCTGAAGATGCAAGTGTCAGAGGAAGGCGAGATGTTCTCGTGAAAGCGTCTGTCCTCAGAAGGAGACAGGAGTGCATTGCAGCTCTGTGAACCCCAGTGGGCGGTTCCAGCAGCAGGGCGTGTGGTGGACACGAGACGGCCCCGTTTGAGTTTTGCTGCCAGAGGACACGTAGAACTTGAACTTCAGAGGCTGCTCCTTGGAGGCCCTGACAAGACACAGGAGGGAAGGGAGACTTCCCATGGTCCTGCCTTCATTGGGTGGCTTTTATTTATTTATTTTTCTTTTTGAGACACAGTCTTGCACTGCCGCCCGGGCTGGAGTGCAATGGTGTGATCTCAGCTCACTGCAACCTCTGCCTCCTGCGTTCATGTGATTCTGCTGCCTCAGCCTCCCGAGTAGCTGGGATTACCGGTGCACACTACCACACCCAGCTGATTTTTTGTATTTTTAGTAGACATGGGGTTTCACTACGTTGGCCAGATTGGTCTCAAACTCCTTCCCTCATGATCCACCCACCTTGGCCTCCCAAAGTGCTGGGATTACAGACATGAGCCACCACACCTGGCCACAGGTGTCTTACTTTCGGTGCAGGGGCTGGCGAGGAACATGGTGGTGAGCAGCCTGCGAGGACGCGGGGCTTTCATCATGCACAGTACCTGATGTTTGGTTTGGCCAGCGTGGCCCGTGAGCCCCTAGGGCTGGGCAGAGGCTGCCCCCGACAGGCTCATGGGTGGAGGGAACCATCTCACCCCCGCCCCTTCTCTCTTCTATTCGCAGCATCAGTGGGACGGGAGGGTGGTCTGCCCAGGGATGCGAGCTCCTGTCCAGAAACCGGACGCATGTCACGTGCCAGTGCAGCCACACAGCCAGCTTCGCGGTGCTCATGGACATCTCCAGGCATGAGGTGGGCATCCGCCTGTGGCCGCTGTGCCCACCAGGCCTACCCCCCGAGTCTGCCCCCTCCTCAAATGAAATCTTCCACCGCAAGTGTTTTGAACAAAGCACATCAACCAGTTAAAAACCATTCCAGGACTGGCCAGAGTCCATGAGGATTTCCATAACAAAGCCCCGTGACAAGGGTTTTCAGAGCCCTGCTTATGCTTTATACCCTGGGATGACAGACCCAAAGCTCTCAGAGGAGCTCCCCAATCTGCCCCTCGCTTCAGAGTGGGTCTGCTGGAAGGTGCCGCTGTCCAACTGCTTTAATTGTAAGGGAGGTGACAGCTGCTGGGCACAGTGGGTGCGCTCCCTCGGGGCCACACGCAGGGCCGCAGGACAAAAGGCTGGGCGGCTAATGTTTAGCCTCTGGCATTTTAAGCAGCCTGGGAATGTGAGCCGGCTATTGTCAGCCTGCAGATGAATTGGGGAGTGGCCTGGTTGCTGTCCTGGCCTCCCATTACCCAGACAGGAAGGAGGTGGGAGCCAGCCTGGGCACGGCCTGTGGGGGACTCGGTGTCTAGGAGGCAGAACCAGAGGCCTGGGTGGCCTCCCCTGGCCCCTCCCCAGGGCCGCGCTGTGGCTCAGGCACCCAGACCACCGTCCTTCCCGAGGGCTTTCTGATGTGAAGTGGCCCTGGTTTCTGTCACATTCTTGGAAGGGTGAGTCAGTCCTGAGGCAGGGCTGGAGGAGGGCTGTGGCTTTCTATGCACTGTGCATGAGAAGCTGCCCTGCCTGTGCCCCCGTCTCACAGGCAGAGGGCACTCCCCAGCAGGACCCAGCCTGGAGAGGGCGTCAGTGGTTAGTGGACTTGGTTCATATAAGGGCGGGGTTGGAGGTGTTCTCATGGCCAGGATGCCAGGCGACATGCGGACCAAGGAAGCTGAAATAGAGGCAGAAGAAAGGAGGCTGGAGTGGGAGTCTGAGGTGCCCATGGTCCAGGTGCCCCAAAGCCAGAGTCTCTGAACAGTCCCCGAGCCAGTGGAGGGAGCCTGGGGTATTGCTGCAGGCCCCAGGGACACCCAGGGCCCAGAGCGTTGAAGGAGCCACAGGAGGGGCAGTTCCAGGCCCAGGCCCATGAGCGCTCGGCCTCCCTGGCCCAGCCTGATCTTGGCTTCCTGGCTCAGTCCCATATGGTAAACAACCCCTTCCAGAAGATACCAGAGAACCAGAGCTTGTAAATGCAGAAACGCCCCAGGGGCCTGGGGCCTGGACAGGTGTCCTGGTTTGTAAAAGCACAGAAAACACAGCAACGTGAGCACACGCTGCCGGGCTGCACACTTCAAAGCACCCAAGAGGGCACGTTTTATGCCTTGTGTATTTTAGCACAATTTTTCTTTTCTTTTTTTTTTTCTTGAGACAGAGTTTTGTTCTTGTCGCTAAGGCTGGAGTGCAGTGGCACAACCTCAGGTCACTGCAACCTCCGTCTCCTGGATTCAAGTGATTCTCCTGCCTCAGCCTCCAAAGTAGCTGGGATTACAGGCTCCCACCACCATACCCGGCTAATTGTTGTATTTTTGTAGAGATGGGTTTCACCATGTTGGCCAGGCAGGTCCCGAACTCCTGACCTCAGGTGATCCACCTGCCTAGGCCTCTGAAAGTGCTGGGATTACAGGTGTGAGCCACCATGCCCAGCCTTTTTTGCAGTCAAATGCTCTACCATTGAGCTATGCCCCCAGGCCCCCCATGCCCAGCCTTTTTTATAAAGACATGTTCAATGCCTGTAAGAAATGCATAATAAGGTTGGGTGTGGTGGCTCCAAGCTGTAATCCCAGCACTTTGGGAGGCTGAGGCAGGCAGATCACTAGATCTCACAAGTTTAAGTCTAGCCTGGGAAACATAGTAAAACCCTGGCTCTACCAAAAATACAGAATCTAGCCGGGCATGGTGATGCGTGCCTGTAGTCCCAGCTACTTGGCAGGCTAAGGTAGGAGGATGGCTTGAGCCCAGGAGGCAGAGGCTGCAGTGAGCTGAGATTGTGCCTCTGCACTCCAGCCTGGGCAACAGAGCCAGACCCTGTCTTAAAAAAAAAAAAAGTATAGTAACAGATCTGGAAATTTGAAAAGTTTATATAATGAGCTGTGATAGAGACATGTGGAGGGGGCATAGGACATCTGTGTGCTGGTGGTAATGATAGAACACGTCATAGTAAGGGTGAAGCAGGAACAACAGGACGGGTGAGGAGGGTACAGATGCCCGTTGCCATGGCAATTGAAGCATCAAGCCTGCCAGTCCACATAACTGAAACCTGAAGCTCCGCCCATGCTCAGCGAGTTGTTTAGCTTTTCTTCTTTTTATGTGATGGAGTTTTGCTCTTGTTGCCCAGGCTGGAGCGCAGTGGAGTGATCTCAACTCACTGCAACTTCCCCCTCCCAGGTTCAAGCCATTCTCCTGCCTCAGCCTCCCACGTAGCTGGGATCTTAAGCGTGCACCACCACATCTGGCTAATTTTATATTTTTAGTAGAGACAGGGTTTCTCCACGTTGGTCAGGCTGGTCTCGAAGTCCTGACCTCAGGTGATCCGCCAGCCTTGACCTCCCAAAGTGCTGGGATTACAAGCGTGAGCCATTGCACCCAGCCTGTTTAGCTCCTTTAAGCATTGCTTTTCTCACCTGGGAGGAAGATGAGGGTCACATCCGCACTCTCCTCAGAGCTGCCATCTAAGGATGATGTGGAACGTGCTCTCGTGGGTCTGTGAGAATGCCTGCCGCTTAATCAGTGCTCAGTAAAAGGTTTTGCTGAACAAAGAAAATTACATTCATGTCGTATTCCCACAAGTACTCCTTTTCTTTGTAAAGTGAGGGTAAGTCTTTCAGCCAAAAGCGTAAGGCCATGATAGAATTACGAGGAAGTCCAAGAGGTATTGCATGCACCTGTGGAGGAGACACGTTTACCTTCCGCGTACGCAGGAATTGCCTGTGGGGTTTTTAGTTTTTTTTTTTTTTTTTTAGATGGAGCCTCCTTCTGTTGCCCAGACTGGAGTGTAGTGGTGCCATCTTGGTTCAATGCAAGCTCTCTGCTTCCTGGGTTTGAGAGATTCTCCTGCCTCAGCCTCTTGGGTAGCTCGGATTACAGGCCCGCCACCACACCCAGCTAACTTTTGTATTTTTAGTGGAGACGGGGTTTCACCATGTTGGCCAGGCTGGTCTCAAACTCCTGACCTCAGGTGATCCACCTGCCTTAGCAGTCCCATGCAAGCACCCTGGCTGGCGTCCTCCTCGCCGCCACCACCTCTGATTCACAGATGGCCAAGAGGAACCTGCCAGGTCACAGGCTGTGGGTGGCGGCGTGGTATTTACCAGCAGGTCCAAGCACTTCACCACCCTCTTTATTGGGAGATGGGGGGGGCCCTTTCTTTTTTTCTTTTGAGATGGAGTCTCTCTCTCTCACCCAGGCTGGAGTGTAGTGGCATGATCTCGGCTCGCTGCAACCTCTGCCTGCCAGTTTCAAGCGATTCTCCTGCCTCAGCTTCCCTAGTAGCTGGGATTACAGCCATGCACCACCATGCCTGGTTAATTTCTGTTTTTCATAGAGACATGGTTTCACCATGTTGGCCAGGATGACCTCAAACTCCTGACCTCAGGTGATCCACCTGCCCTCTCAAAGTGCTGGGATTACAGGTGTGAGCCACCATGCCCGGCCGGGGCCCTTTTCTGAAATTATGTATGGGGAGAGCTGAACCACATTGGATCTTCAGCTGCTGAATTCAGTGACTTTGGGTGCATTTAACCCTTTACCTCAGTCACCATTCACACTGTCAGTAGTTGTACAATGAATGAGCACCTACTGTGTGCCTGGGGCTGGGAACATAGCGGGGAATGGAACGAGCAGTCTGGGTCCCCACCTTCCTGGAGCTGGTGATTCCACAGCTAAGCATCCCTGAGGGGTGTTCCCCATCTTGGGTGACAGCAGAGGCTGCCCTGGAAAGTGGCTGAGATGGCTGAGATGGAAAGCTGGAGAGAGGTCCTCCAGGCAGCGGGCTAGGGAGGTGCAGAGACCAGAGCACACCCAGGGGGTGGCAGCATCCAGTGAGGAGAGCTGAGAACCCTGGCTGGCACAGTCCGGCCGCTGGCATGGAGCCCAGTGAGGCACCGGTGGCCATAGCTGGGAAATCTAGTCTGTGTCCCTGTACTGAGGGTACTAGTCCTGACAGCCCTGTGACTTCACCCTGCCAGTGAGCTCAAGATAGGACCTCGGGCTCCCACCTGTGATCCCAGCACTTTGGGAGTCCGAGGTGGGTGGATCACAAGGTCAGGAGATCAAGATCATCCTGTCTACTAAAATACAAAAAAATTAGCCTGGCATGGTGGCATGTACCTGTAGTCCCAGCTACTGAGGAGGCTGAAGCAGGGGAATTGCTTGAACCCGGGCAGCAGAGGTTGCAGTGAGCTGAGACCACGCCACTGCACTTGAGCTTGGTGACAGAGCAAGACTCTGTCTCAAAAAAAAAAAAAAAATAGGACCTTGCTCATGACATAGAGCTTAGAAGGTAAAGTGGGGTCAGAGTCAGCCCACGTGTGGAGCTTACAAGAGGTGTAAAGGTTGAGAATGATGAGAAGGGAGATGACAGATAAATACCAGCCGGAGTGAGCCTGGAGCTGTATACCATGAGCAGACTAACTCGGCTTGAGGAGGAACGGTGATATTTAGAGACAGTGCTGCTATAAAAAGGTCCATTCACTGGGAAGATATAAACTTACCATTTTTTTTTTGAGACGGAGTTTTGCTCGTTACCCAGGCTGGAGTGCAATGGTGTGATCTTGGCTCACTGAAACCTCCACCTCCTGGGTTCAGGCAATTCTCCTGCCTCAGCCTCCTGAGTAGCTGGGATTACAGGCACGTGCCACCATGCGCAGCTAATTTTGTATTTTTAGTAGAGATGGGGTTTTGCCATGTCAGTCGGGGTAATCTCAATCTCCCAACCTAAGGTGATCCCCGCCTTGGCCTCCCAAAGTGCTGGAATTACAGGTGTGAGCCACCTCGCCTGGCCAAAAAATAGCATCTCGTGCTGTCTGCTTGAGTTATCTGAAGATGGAAGTTAACTGAAAGGTGCTCCCACCAAGGCCATTCTCCCTCCAACAGGGTGTCTCACTCAGTGGAGACAATGAGCAGATAGCACCTAAATCCCACTGACAAATTAGGTGATAACAAATATTTGCTTTGAGCTTGTCACACTGCGCTCTTCTAAACATGGTTTGAAAGGAAAGGCAGTGAGAAAGCCTTGGAATGTTATCATTTACTACAAAGGGAGAGAATACTTTTTTTCTTTCAAAATATCTCTGTGGGTGGCAGTTATTCATTCATTCATTCATTATTTATTTAAGTTTCACTTGTCACCCAGGCTGGAGTGCAATGTTCACTGACACCTCCCCCTCCCGGGCTCAAGCAATTCTCTTGCCTCAGCCTCCTGAGTAGCTGGAATTACAGGCATCTGCCACGCCTGGCTAATTTACATTTCTAGCAGAGAAGGGGTTTAACCTTGTTGGCCACCAGGCTGGTCATAAACTTTTGATCTCAGATTATTCACCTGCCTCAGCTTCCCAAAGTGCTGGGATTACAGGCCTGAGCCACTGTGCCCCGTCAGATTTTTAAACTATTCTGTGTCAATAGTGCAGATGAACTACCCTTGTGCCCAGGAGAAAGCAGAAGGGCATTCGAACCTCAGGCCACCAAAGCCGACCCCTGAAACGTGAGCCATGGTGAGAAGCACAGAGGCAAAGCCCCTTGCCCAGTGTCACAGGAAGTGGTGGAGCTGGAACCTGACCTAGAAGTGTCTGGTGTATAACAAGCGTGGACAGACTCTGTAGCCTGAAACTCCAATGTTATTGAAGGGAAAGAGAAGCACACAAAGCTCTCCAGTGCCCGGTCTCAGCAGCTCTCCCGTCATTTCCTCCTCCCTGCCCAGGGGCTGAAAGGGCACCTGCTCAGAGGTTGCACAGGTTTCTGTCGGAGGCCTGAACGGTGTCCTGTGTAGCAGCACGAGGTTTCCCTAGCAACCCTACCAGCCAAATGCACACATTCCAGAGAATGCCACAGCCTTCTCCAAGGAAAGCCTCTTCCCTGCAACCAATCACAGGGGCATCTGCCTTCACTGCCCTCCTACTCCCCCCACCTAGCAAGTGGCTGGTTTATGCTCAGGCTCCGTTGAAAGGATGAATGAACAAAAGCTTTGTCAGTCCTATGAAGAGCTTCCAATCCCCACTGGGCATCCGCAGCACCGGGCTGCACCTCCATAGAGCAGGTGTGTTTTCAGAGTAGGAAAGATCCCGCATGTTAGGGTCTGGGCCCATTTTGTGCCTCTATCCCTAATGAAGCTCAGCGTGCTGCACTTAGTAGGTGCTCAGAACTGAAATGAACCAGGGTTTCTTTTTATCCCAGATGGAGTTTTGCTCTCATTGCTCAGGCTGGTTTAATGGCACAATCTTGGCTCACTGCAATTCTCCTGCCTCAGCCTCCCAGTACCTGGGATGACAGGCACCTGCCACCACCACGTCCAGTTTTTTTTTTAGACGGAGTCTCGCTCTGTTGCCAGGCTGGAGTACAGTGGCATGATCTTGGTTCACTGCAACTTCCAACTCACTGGTTAGACTGATTCTCCTGCCTCAGCCTCCTGAGTAGCTGGGATTACAGGCACACACCACACCCAGCTAATTTTTGTATTTTTAATAGAAACAGGGTTTCACCATGTCAGCCAGGATGGTCTCAAACTCCTGACCTCAGGTGATCCACCTTTCTAGGCCTCCCAAGGTGCTGGGATTATAGGCGTGAGCCACCACGCCAGCCTGAAACCAAGGTTTCTAAGATACTCTTAGCCTCCTCAGATCTGGCCCGGCCCACCTTTCCACCTTTCCTTTTCTGCACAACTGACCACAGCTAGCCCAGCCTACGCAACAGCCAGTCTGGCTCCCCCACAATGCAGAGCCGGCACAGGCCACAGGAGCCAGGCCCAGTCACATCCGTGGACCCCCTGCCACAGACAAATGCTACACACAGCTGGTAGCACATGGCACTGTTTACTGTGGCGCTCGGTGGAAAACATCTGTAGACCAGCGTACTGCAGTGGTGACCGCTGCCACACATGCTCAGGGACTTTTATTATATAAAACATGGGAGGGCGGGAGTTCCACCCGCTCCTTTGTGACAGCAACTGCGCCCTGAATACAGAGCCTTGTAGGCATATGCAGCTTTCGTATTGCTTCATGATTTGAGTTTGTTTCCTTTTAAAAAAAATGCCTTCTTGCTGCAAGGCTCAATGCAGCATATAGAAAACGGTTAGGAATACAGGTAAATTCGGCAACCAGTGTAGACCAGTGAGGACAAGCTCCTCTCTTCTAAAGAAAGGCAGTGAGAAAGCCTCAGAATTTTATTTATTAAAAGAAAAAAAAGAAAATCTTTTTTTCTGCTTTCAAGAATATCTGTGCAGGTGGTAGATTTTCAACCATGCTGAATCAACTGTGCAGGTAAACTAACCTCGGGCCTGGAGGGAGACGGGATGGGGATGGGAGGCACGTTCACAGCAGTCCCAAGGTCGGGGGAGGTGTGCGGCAGGGTCTGAAAAGGGGAGGCTGCAGTGTCCGCCTGTCCATCTGTCTCAGGCTGAAGGAGAAAAGGCTTATTCAGAGGTTTGGCCTCAGCTCCTTCCGCTTTGCCATCCACCTCCTCGTCCGAGCATTCGTTGGGGCAAACGGCAGGTCCCCACACCTGGGGGCAGAGGCAGAGGCAGAGTCAGTGGGGCCTGGCCAGGGAGGCCACAGCACAGCACACAAATCCCACAGCAAATTTGAGAGGGAAATCAGGCGCCTGGCTGCTCCCACCAAACAGAAGCAAGGCAAAGCCTTGGGAGCCACAGCTCAGCTGGACAGGACCGCTCTCAAAGAAATCTTCCCACAAAATAGTGGTCAGACATCTTCATGCACAACAGCAGCACACAGAGTTCAGGCAAACAGGAACAGTTACAACAGGAAAGGCAGAAAAGTGTAAAATGCCACCTTTTGTTCCAGCTCATAAAAGGTGACACCACAGCGAGTACACAGGTGAACCACAGCGGGTTAACACAGACAGGCACGCACTACCACACGGCAGGAAATTCACATCAGATACTGACTACTGATGCTTAAAAAGAGGCCCGATGAAGGCCACGCATGGTGGTGCTTGCTTGTAGTCCCAGCACTTTGGGAGGCCGAGGCTGTCAGACCACGAGGTCAGGAGTTTGAGACCACCCTGGCCAACACAGTGAACCGCCATCTCTACTAAAAATACAAAAATTAGCCAGGCATGAAGACACGCACCTATAATCGCAGCTACTCGGGAGGCTGAGGCAGAAGAATCGCCTGAACCCAAGAGGCAGAGGTTGTGGTGACACAAGATTATGCCACTGCACTCCAGCCTGGGTAAAAGAGCAAGACTCTGACTCAAATGTATTTTAAACCTACGGTTATTCTTGCTACATGATATGACATATCAGAGCTGTTTTTATGTGTTCATTATTCTTCAATTATTGGTGAGGTGAAAATTTCCAAGTATGTATCCCACACTCTAGGCTGCTTCTCGGAACCATCATGCCGCAGCCCAGAAGGCTGGAGCGTCAGGACGCGGCTGATGCTGGAGTCTGCACTGGGTGAGGCCTTCTGAACTCCCCCATGCCTGGGCCTGCACTTGCCTGTTTGCTTCTGTGTTTCATGTACTCAGCCATGCACCGTTCTGCAAGTTTGCTGTTGGACTATTGTTTCCACTCACCTCTGAGCCTGTGTCTCCATTAGTGAGATGGGGCTGGAAGCACCCAGGACCTTCCCAAGAGGCGCCACCCTGCCAGGTTCCCGCCCCAGAGCCCTCGCATGTAGCTGGCTCAGCTGGGCACTGCCCGCCCTTACCCGCCACTTCCACAGCTGCTCGATGGCTTCATCCCGGTTCTTGTTGGCCGAGTCGATGCGCGCCTCCAGGTCAATCTCCAGCTTCTTCCGGGCTGGCCACTGCCATGGAGTGCCTCTTCCTCTCGTCCTCCAGCTCTGCCTCCATCTCCCTGCACCTGGAGGAAGGAACACTGACAGCTTGGGAAGCTGGACCCACTCAGAGACCCTGCTCTGGCTCTGAACCCAGGTGCCTCTGCAGGATCTGCGGGGCCTCCGGAAGCCAGTGGGCATTACTGACTCAAAAACTCTAAGAAGGTGAGTCACTGACCCGAGGGACAGGGGACCGGACAGGAGGGACAGGGAGGGGAGGCGTGGTCCAGGGCCCTAACACAATCCAGGTGGAAGGAGGAAATGGAAGCCTGGGTGAAGCCAGGGCAACCCTGGCCACCGTGGGGTAGCAGGAGCCCACGCACACCTGTCTGACCAGCTGCTGCTGCTTCTCCTCACTCTGCTCGTCCCGGCCCTGCAGGTCCCGCTCGAACTGGATCTTCATGGCCTGCAGGTTGACCTCCAGCTGCAGATTGGCGTTTTCAGTGTCCTGCAGCTCATCCTCCAGCTCCTCCAGCTGGGTCTTCAACTCCTCCACCTGCTGCTCCAGAAGCCGCCTGGACTTCAGCTCATGGATCTGAGCCCCAGAGAGCCCAAGTCAGGAGCAAAGAGACTGGCAGGGACCTGGGTCTGCTAGACCCGGAACGTGTGTATGCGTTGACCCTCTGTGATGACCCCGCTCGGGCCCCTCCCAAGGCCTGGCTGCCAGGCCCGGCACTCACGCTCTTGCCCTTGGAGCTCATGATGTCCATCTCCAAGCGGAACTGCTTGTTGAGCCGCTCCGGCTCTACTTTCTGCTCCATGGCTTCCTTCAGGGCCCGGGCCAGTGACAGCGCCTTGGTCTCCTTCTCTCGGGCCTCGGCCTCGGCCCGGTCACGCTCCTCTGCATACTTGGCAGAGATGGTCTTCTCCTCTGCCAGGAGCTGGGAAAGAGAGGGGCACCATGAGGCTCAGCTCCACAGGCTCCGAGCTACAGCCCCCAGCAGGGCAGAGCAGCTGGGCCCAAGCTAATTTTTGTATCCTTAGTAGAGATGGGGTTTCACCATGTTGGCCAGGCTGCTCTCGAACTCTTGACCTGGTGATCTGCCCACCTCGGCTTCCCAAAGTTCTGGGCTTATAGGCATATAAGCCCATGCCCAGTCAAGAGTGCATTCTTTAGAGTATACAGGCCCCACAGTCTCTGCAGAAACGCAACCCCACTACCACAGTGCAACAACCAGAGACTGACACAAGAATGATTGTGTGTGTGTGTGTGTTCGGTGCAGCTTTCTCCCCAAAATGCAGCGGGCTGGACCCGGCCGCCGCAGTTCCATGCTCGATGTCTATCCCACCCCAGGTGTTCACATCTCCCTCAGCTTCCCGCAGATCTTTTGGAATAAGGAGCAATATGAATGCACAAATAAATGGTATAAATGACAGGAAAAACAGTTCATTATAGAAAATCTGAAAAAAACGTGAAAACCCAGAAAGGAAAAGTTCCTCCTCAACCCACTGCATGAAGACACCCTCTTCCGCTGGCCTTCTCCCCAAGCCCCTCAACAAGCCAGAGACTAGGGGTCCTCTAAGTGCTGGCCCCGCACGACCCCTCCCGGGCAAGGTCTCGGGGGAGCCCAAGGTTTCTCTGATGAGGCCCTCGCCTTGGGCTGAGTGCCGGAAGGAGAGAAAATGCAAAGGATGGGGTGGATGGCTACACACCTGGTCAAACTTCTGCTTCTCCAGGTCCACAAGCAGCTCATCCCGCTCCTGCTGGGCCTGGCGCTTGGCACGCTCCGCGGCTGCCAGTTCCTGCCACAAAGATCCAGAATGTGACCTGAAGGCAGCCACAGCCCCACAAGACCATCCTTCCCAGCCCTGGGCACCCTCCTCTCAAGCCCTTCCCCAGCCCCACCTCCCCAGAAAGCTCTTCCTCCAGGATTCCTCTAGCTCACAGGGCTGGTGCCCCCCTAAAGTCACAGCTTAAAAGCATTGTATGTTTATAAAACTCAACTACATTTAAGTGCTAGGAATCAAGCCAGGTGCCAGGGTGTGTTGATGACTAACAAGTGTCCTGGCCTAACCAGGGCAGACCACGTGGACAGAGCCGCTCACTGCTGCCCCGGCCCGTTCTGGGTAGCCAGAGCCCAGAGTCAGCTCCGGAGCCTACAGGCAGGAGATGGCTGCACCCTGGACGCAGTCACACCCGGCAAGTCACACTGCAGGGCACCCTCTAGACCCAGGAAACACTTCAGGACTGGCTCAGGTGCAACACGGACAGGGCAGCCATGGGGATGCTGAGACCCTCCCTCACCAGAACATGGTCACGGCAGGAGGTGGTGGCGGCCACGGAGCCTCATCTGATGTGAGGCATTTCACTCACACACAATCTCATCATACCAGGGAGGCCCACTATGTAATGGAACCCTGGGGATCCTTTTGTAATGTGAGAGCTGTCCCCAGCCAATTCCTGGAGCTGAGTCGGACCCTAGCCCTGCCCTCTGCTGAAAGCCCTGTGCTGCCACCTGCTGGCTGCAGGGCAGCAGTGCCGCTCTCCACTGCCACGCCACCCACCTCGTGCAAGTGGATCATCTCGGCCTCCACTCTCTTCAGGTTCCTCTCATTCTCTATGGCCTGGGCCAGGATCTCTTCGCGAGAGCGCGGGTGTCATCCAGCTCACACATGCAGTGTTTAACCTGGGCCTGGGGCAGGCACAGAGGCTTGGCACCCCACCCAGGGCCTTGGCCCTCGGCCCTCCACCCCCACCCTCGAGCGTCATCTCACACACAGGGATGGCTGTGGTCTGCTTGATATTTAACCAACCATGGTGACAGGGAGAAAAAGCAACTGAGGACAAAAATCTGCATCCCACTTCATAACTCACACTTTGACAGTGTTGGTCACTGTGGACGCAAGCCCAGGCTGAGCTTCATTTTCCACTTCTGTCTCCTCTGTGGGCTAGAGACCAGTGCCCACGGTGCACCCCTAATGCGCACCTGCCGCTTGAAACCAGTGCCCAGCCTGGCGGGTGTCCCCACCACAGGCAGGAAACACCTTTCCTTTTGTTACCCACCTCCTATTTGTTTTAATGCTAAAGATTTTTGTCAAATATTTTTTTCCATTTGCAGATAACTCCAAAAACAGATTCCCCAAGGCAAAGTGCATGACTGGGTGTGTGCAGCCAGTCCACAGCAGCAGAACATGCCAACAGCAGAGTATCTGTGCCCCACAACGTTGCCCACAGTTAGCTTTTACAGATTTTTTTTTGCCCAGGCACAGCAGCTCACGCCTGTAATCCCAGCACTATGGGAGGCCAAGGCTGTCAGATCATGAGGTCAGGAGTTTGAGACCACCCTGGCCAACACAGTGAACCGCCATCTCTACTAAAAATACGAAAATTAGCCAGGCATGAGAACACACACCTATAATCCCAGCTACTTGGGAGGCTGAGGCAGGAGAATCGCCTGAACCCAAGAGGCAGAGGTTGTGGTGACACAAGATTGCGCCACTGCACTCCAGCCTGGGCAAAAGAGCAAGACACTGACTCAAATGTATTTTAAACCTATGGTTTTCTTGCTACATGATATGACATATCAGAGCTGTTTTTATGTGTTCATTATTCTTCAATTATTGGTGAGGTGAAAATTTCCAAGTATGTATCCCACACTCTAGGCTGCTTCTCGGAACCATCACGCCGAGCCCAGAAGGCTGGAGCGTCAGGACGCGGCTGATGCTGGAGTCTGCACTGGGTGAGGCCTTCTGAACTCCCCCATGCCTGGGCCTGCACTTGCCTGTTTGCTTCTGTTTCATGTACTCAGCCATGCACCGTTCTGCAAGTTTGCTGTTGGACTATTGTTTCCACTCACCTCTGAGCCTGTGTCTCCATTAGTGAGATGAGGCTGGAGGCACCCAGGACCTTCCCAAGAGGCGCCACCTTGCCAGGTTCCTGCCCCAGCACCCTCGCATGTAGCTGGCTCAGCTGGGCACCGCCCGCCCTTACCCGCCACTTCCGCAGCTGCTCGATGGCTTCATCCGGTTCTTGTTGGCCGAGTCAATGTGCGCCTCCAGGTCCATCTCCAGCTTCTTCCGGGCGGCCACTGCCATGGAGTGCCTCTTCCTCTCATCCTCCAGCTCTGCCTCCATCTCCCGCACCTGGAGGAAGGAACACTGACAGCTTGGGAAGCTGGACCCACTCAGAGACCCTGCTCTGGCTCTGAACCCAGGTGCCTCTGCAGGATCTGCGGGGCCTCCGGAAGCCAGTGGGCATTACTGACTCGAAGAACTCTAAGAAGGTGAGTCGCTGACCCGAGGGACAGGGGACCGGACAGGAGGGACATGGGAGGGGAGGCATGGTCCAGGGCCCTAACACAATCCAGGTGGAAGGAGGAAATGGAAGCCTGGGTGAAGCCAGGGCAACCCTGGCCACCGTGGGGTAGCAGGAGCCCACGCACACCTGTCTGACCAGCTGCTGCTGCTTCTCCTCACTCTGCTCGTCCCGGCCCTGCAGGTCCCGCTCGAACTGGATCTTCATGGCCTGCAGGCTGACCTCCAGCCGCAGATTGGCGTTTTCAGTGTCCTGCAGCTCATCCTCCAGCTCCTCCAGCTGGGTCTTCAACTCCTCCACCTGCTGCTCCAGAAGCCGCCTGGACTTCAGCTCATGGACCTGAGCCCCAGAGAGCCCAAGTCAGGAGCAAACAGACTGGCAGGGACCTGGGTCTGCTAGACCCGGAACGTGTGTATGCGTTGACCCTCTGTGATGACCCCGCTCGGGCCCCTCCCAAGGCCTGGCTGCCAGGCCCAGCACTCACGCTCTTGCCCTTGGAGCTCATGATGTCCTCCATCTCCACGCGGAACTGCTTGTTGAGCCGCTCCGGCTCCACTTTCTGCTCCATGGCTTCCTTCAGGGCCCGGGCCAGCGACAGCGCCTTGGTCTCCTTCTCTCGGGCCTCGGCCTCAGCCCGGTCACGCTCCTCTGCATACTTGGCAGAGATGGTCTTCTCCTCTGCCAGGAGCTGGGAAAGAGAGGGGCACCATGAGGCTCAGCCCCACAGGCTCCGAGCTACAGCCCCCAGCAGGGCAGAGCAGCTGGGCCCAAGCTAATTTTTGTATTCTTAGTAGAGATGGGGTTTCACCATGTTGGCCAGGCTGCTCTCGAACTCTTGACCTGGTGATCTGCCTGCCTCGGCTTCCCAAAGTTCTGGGCTTATAGGCATATAAGCCCATGCCCAGTCAAGAGTGCATTCTTTAGAGTATACAGGCCCCACAGTCTCTGCAGAAACTCAACCCCACTACCACAGCGCAACAACCAGAGACGACACAAGAACGACAGTGTGTGTGTGCTTCGATGCAGCTTTCTCCCCAAAACGCAGCGGGCTGGACCCGGCCGCCGCAGTTCCATGCTTCGATGTCTATCCCGCCCCGGTGTTCACATCTCCCTCACCTTCTCTCAGATCTTTTGGAATAAGGAAGCAATATGGATGCACAAATAAATGGTTTAAATGACAGGAAAACCAGTTCATTATAGAAAATCTGAAAACAAACGTGAAAACCCAGAAAGGAAAAGTTCCTCCTCAACCCACTGCATGAAGATACCCTCTTCCGCTGGCCTTCTCCCCAAGCCCCTCAACAAGCCAGAGACTAGGGGTCCTCTAAGTGCTGGCCCCGCACGACCCCTCCCGGGCAAGGTCTCGAGGGAGCCCAGGCTTTCTCTGATGAGGCCCTCGCCTTGGGCTGAGTGCCGGAAGGAGAGAAAATGCAAAGGATGGGGTGGATGGCTACACACCTGGTCAAACTTCTTCAGCTTCTCCTCCAGGTCCACGAGCAGGTCATCACGCTCCTGCTGGGCCTGGCGCTTGGCACGCTCCGCGGCTGCCAGTTCCTGCCACAAAGATCCAGAATGTGACCTCAAGCCCTTCGCCAGCCCCACCTCCCCAGAAAGCTCTTCCTCCAGGATTCCTCTAGCTCACAGGGCTAGTGCCCCCCCTAAAGTTACAGCTTAAAAGCATTGTATGTTTATAAAACTCAACTACATTTAAGTGCTAGGAATCAAGCCAGGTGCCAGGGTGTGTTGATGACTAACAAGTGTCCTGGCCTAAGCAGGGCAGACCACGTGGACAGAGCCGCTCACTGCTGCCCTGCTGCTCAGGGTAGCCAGAGTCTGGAGTCAGCTCCGGAGCCTGCAGGCAGGAGACGACTACACCCTGGACGCAGTCACACCCGGCAAGTCACACTGCAGGGCACCCTCTAGACCCAGGAAACACTTCAGGACTGGCTCAGGTGCAACATGGACAGGGCAGCTATGGGGATGCTGAGACCCTCCATCGGTCACGGCAGGTGGTGGCAGCCACGGAGCCTCATCTGATGTGAGGCATTTCACTCACACAATCTCATCATACCAGGGAGGCCCACTATGTAATGGAACCCTGGAGGGAATCCTTTTGTAACAGGAGAGCTGAGTCAGACCCTAGCCCTCTGCTGAAAGCCCTGTGCTGCGACCTGCTAGCTGCAGGGCAGCAGTGCCACTCTCCACTGCCACCCACCCACCTCGTGCAAGTGGATCATCTCAGCCTCCACGCTCTTCAGGTTCCTCTCATTCTCTTTGGCCTGGGCCAGGATCTCTTCGCGAGAGGCGCGGGTGTCGTCCAGCTCACGCATGCAGTGTTTAACCTGGGTCTGGGGCAGGGACAGAGGCTTGGCACCCACCCAGGTCCTTGGCCCTCGGCCCTCCACCCCCACCCTCGAGCGTCATCTCACACACAGGGATGGCTGTGCTCTGCTTGATATTTAACCAACCATGGTGACAGGGAGAAAAAGCAACTGAGGACAAAAATCTGTGTCCCACTTCATAACTCACACTTTGACAGTGTTGGTCACTGTGGACGCAAGCCCAGGCTGAGCTTCATTCTCCACTTCTGTCCCCTCTGTGGGCCGGAGACCAGTGCCCACGGTGCCACCCCTAATGCGCACCTGCCACTTGAAACCAGTGCCCAGCCTGGCAGGTGTCCCCACCACAGGCAGGAAACACCTTTCCTTTTGTTACCCACCTCCTATTTGTTCTAATGCTAAAGATTTTTGTCAAATACTCTTTTTTTCCATTTGCAGATAACTCCAAAAACAGATTCCCCAAGGCAAAGCGCATGACTGGGTGTGTGCAGCCAGTCCACAGCAGCAGAACATGCCAACAGCAGAGTATCTGTGCCCCACAACGTTGCCCACAGTTAGCTTTTACAGATTTGTTTTTGCCGAGGCACAGCAGCTCACGCCTGTAAGTCCCAGCACTATGGGAGGCCGAGGCTGTCAGATCATGAGGTCAGGAGTTTGAGACCACCCTGGCCAACACAGTGAACCGCCATCTCTACTAAAAATACGAAAATCAGCCAGGCATGGGAACACGCACCTATAATCGCAGCTACTCGGGAGGCTGAGGCAGGAGAATCGCCTGAACCCAAGAGGCAGAGGTTGTGGTGACACAAGATTGCGCCACTGCACTCCAGCCTGGGTAAAAGAGCAAGACTCTGACTCAAATGTATTTTAAACCTACGGTTATTCTTGCTACATGATATGACATATCAGAGCTGTTTTTATGTGTTCATTATTCTTCAATTATTGGTGAGGTGAAAATTTCCAAGTATGTATCCCACACTCTAGGCTGCTTCTCGGAACCATCACGCCGGAGCCCAGAAGGCTGGAGCATCAGGACGCGGCTGATGCTGGAGTCTGCACTGGGTGAGGCCTTCTGAACTCCCCCATGCCTGGGCCTGCACTTGCCTGTTTGCTTCTGTGTTTCATGTACTCAGCCATGCACCGTTCTGCAAGTTTGCTGTTGGACTATTGTTTCCACTCACCTCTGAGCCTGTGTCTCCATTAGTGAGATGGGGCTAGGAAGCACCCAGGACCTTCCCAAGAGGTGCCACCCTGCCAGGTTCCCTACCCAGCGCCCTCACATGTAGCTGGCTCAGCTGGGCACCGCCCGCCCTTACCCGCCACTTCCACAGCTGCTCGATGGCTTCATCCCGGTTCTTGTTGGCCGAGTCAATCTGCGCCTCCAGGTCGATCTCCAGCTTCTTCCAGGCGGCCATTGCCATGGAGTGCCTCTTCCTCTCGTCCTCCAGCTCTGCCTCCATCTCCCGCACCTGGAGGAAGGAACACTGACAGCTTGGGAAGCTGGACCCACTCAGAGACCCTGCTCTGGCTCTGAACCCAGGTGCCTCTGCAGGATCTGCAGGGCCTCTGGAAGCCAGTGGGCATTACTGACTCAAAGAACTCTAAGAAGGTGAGTCGCTGACCCGAGGGACAGGGGACTGGACAGGAGGGACAGGGGAGGGGAGGTGTGGTCCAGGGCCCTAACACAATCCAGGTGGAAGGAGGAAATGGAAGCCTGGGTGAAGCCAGGGCAACCCTGGCCACCGTGGGGTAGCAGGAGCCCACGCACACCTGTCTGACCAGCTGCTGCTGCTTCTCCTCACTCTGCTCGTCCCGGCCCTGCAGGTCCCGCTCGAACTGGATCTTCATGGCCTGCAGGTTGACCTCCAGCTGCAGATTGGCGTTTTCAGTGTCCTGCAGCTCATCCTCCAGCTCCTCCAGCTGGGTCTTCAACTCCTCCACCTGCTGCTCCAGAAGCCACCTGGACTTCCGCTCATGGACCTGAGCCCCAGAGAGCCCAAGTCAGGAGCAAAGAGACTGGCAGGGACCTGGGTCTGCTAGACCCGGAATGTGTGTATGCGTTGACCCTCTGTGATGACCCCGCTCGGGCCCCTCCCAAGGCCTGGCTGCCAGGCCCGGCACTCACGCTCTTGCCCTTGGAGCTCATGATGTCCTCCATCTCCACGCGGAACTGCTTGTTGAGCCGCTCCGGCTCCACTTTCTGCTCCATGGCTTCCTTCAGGGCCCGGGCCAGCGACAGCGCCTTGATCTCCTTCTCTCGGGCCTCGGCCTTGGCCCGGTCACGCTCCTCTGCATACTTGGCAGAGATGGTCTTCTCCTCTGCCAGGAGCTGGGAAAGAGAGGGGCACCATGAGGCTCAGCCCCACAGGCTCCGAGCTACAGCCCCCAGCAGGGCAGAGCAGCTGGGCCCAAGCTAATTTTTGTATTCTTAGTAGAGATGGGGTTTCACCATGTTGGCCAGGCTGCTCTCGAACTCTTGACCTGGTGATCCGCCCGCCTCGGCTTCCCAAAGTTCTGGGCTTATAGGCATATAAGCCCATGCCCAGTCAAGAGTGCATTCTTTAGAGTATACAGGCCCCACAGTCTCTGCAGAAACTCAACCCCACTACCACAGCGCAACAACCAGAGATGACACAAGAATGACTAGTGTGTGTGTGTGTGTGTTCGGTCCAGCTTTCTCCCCAAAACGCAGCGAGCTGGACCCAGCCGCCGCAGTTCCATGTTCGATGTCTATCCCGCCCCGGTGTTCACATCTCCCTCAGCTTCTCTCAGATCTTTTGGAATAAGGAAGCAATATGGATGCACAAATAAATGGTTTAAATGACGGGAAAACCAGTTCATTATAGAAAATCTGAAAACAAACGTGAAAACCCAGAAAGGAAAAGTTCCTCCTCAACCCACTGCATGAAGACACCCTCTTCCGCTGGCCTTCTCCCCAAGCCCCTCAACAAGCCAGAGACTAGGGGTCCTCTAAGTGCTGGCCCCGCACGACCCCTCCCGGTCAAGGTCTCGAGGGAGCCCAGGGTTTCTCTGATGAGGCCCTCGCCTTGGGCTGAGTGCCGGAAGGAGAGAAAATGCAAAGGATGGGGTGGATGGCTACACACCTGGTCAAACTTCTTCTGCTTCTCCTCCAGGTGGCACACCATCTGGCGCTGGTTGTCCAGGTCCACAAGCAGGTCATCCAGCTCCTGCTGCCGCCATGTCTCTGTATTCTCCAGCTTGTCCTTGTGCCGCTGGCTCGGACCCTCCAGGTCCTTCCGGAGCTGCCTCTTCACCTCCTCTGCGGTTTCCAGGCACCGCACACTGTCAATTCTCTTCTTGTCGGCCACCTGGGCAGGAGCAAGGAATAAGCAGATGCCTGAGATGGCACCTGCTCAGGTGACACACCTGTCCCTGGGACAGCTGGGAGCCTGCCTGCCACACTGAAAGGGGCACCAGGGATCCGCCCAGTTATAAACTGCCTCCCCAGTCACTTCCCTCTCCATGGGGGCAAGACAAATGGAGTTTCTGCAGAAAGGCATCCATCTAGTGTGTGAAGCTGCGGGGAGGCTGACTCCTAGGCCCGCTGAGGGGATTCCAAGCCCTCATCCACACCAAGCCTCTCGCTCTCTGGGGAACCACCCCCAGAGAGCAAGGCCAGTGCCCTGTGGGGGTGTACACGGGGTCCCCATCACTCAGCCCTTGCATCTGCAGATAAACCTGCAACCACATGCGCTCGAAGGCGACTCCTACCCTGACTTTGGAATGAACTCCCAGCCCATCTGGAGGTGGTTCAGGCCTTCTGGCCCACCATGTGGAGGCCTAAAATAGGATCTATGACAGGGACCCTGACATTAGTCTGCGGACCCCTTGACATTCTATAGAGAGGACTAGGGACTCCTTCTCATGACAATGTTTTAACAGGCATGAAATAAACATAAGGAATCACCCAGGCAACCAGTATAGAGAAATGCAGTTGCCATCACTCAGGAAGCCACGTGACCCCAGGTAGCACATCAGATAGCAAACTCAGTGCAGGCCTGGCAATCACGAGGCCAAGGAGCTCAGCCATGACCCTAACAGGGTAACTGGCCATTTCTCCAGGTGACAAGGGCACAGGGACCTGCCAGCACCATGGCTGTGGCTATGTTCATAATGGAAGCAGTGCTACATTGTAGCTAGACTGGTGAACATAAAGTGTAAAATAGCAGTGAAAATAGTGGTGTCCCCATCTAAGTCCACAGACCCCTGGATTCCTCTCTTATGGACTCAGGCTAAGAGCACTGATGTGGGACAGCAGGGGGGAGGGGGGGCTTCCCTGGAAAAAGGGCAATAGGCTGGCCCGGCGGCAGTCTGTCCTGCAGTGCCCAGGCCAGCAGCTCTCCAGCCTGCAGCATCTGGCCAGTTCCCTGGGCCTCCAAACCTGGGCGTGGAGGGTGGCAATCTGCTTCTCAAGGTTGTGCGTGGCCTCCTTCTCCTTCTCCAGCTGTTCCCAGAAGGAATTCTTCTCATCCTCCACCTGCTTGAGGTTGGTGCTCAGGCCCAGCTTCTGCCGGTTCTCCTCCTGCAGCAGCTCCTAATCCCGGGATGAGATAAATGCGGGTGCTCAGGAGAGTAGTTTCTGAACCCCAGGGACCCCACACCCTGGAGAAGAGGGAGGAGCCGGTCCTGCTGATTCACGGGATGACCACATAAGGACCTGGTGGGAGTTGGGAGAACGCAGAGACCGCGCCCCCCAGGATGAAAAGGAGCATGGGCAATCTGACGGGCTCTAGAGCTAATAGGCAGAGGGGCCTTCCAGGAGGAGTCCACCTTCCGGGAACCTGGTTTTTCATGGGATATTGAGCAAGTCCATGTTGGCTGCCAAATACAAAATTATTTTTCAGGAAGAAAATGTTGCTACTGAGAAATAGGCTCACTACTAGCTTGTCAGTGATGTCACCTTTGGACCGACATCATCAATCAGGCCTCAGTTGGTCATAAGCTCCAGTGACTGGTAGCTGGAGTCCATGACAGCTGAGGACTGATTCACAATGGCAGTCAAAAATGATACTCACTTGACATTCTAGAAGCCCCAGAAAAAGACATTTCTCTTCAAGACAAAGAAATGCATCTTACTATCTCAGGTGACGTCTCCTCCGCAATCCTCGCAGTCCTACCGTCCTCCTGGTCTTGAACGGGATCTAGGAGGACACAGAGAGACAGTCAGTGCACTGGTGCTGTGAGGAATCCCACAAGGAGGCTTGGGGGACATGGACTGAAGCTGCAGTGTATGGAGCTGGGCTGCTGACAAGCATGAACTGAGCTGCTGCTGGACCACTCTCCTTGGTGTTGAAGGAAGGCAAAGGAGAGGGGCAGAAAGAAACCAAAGAGCCTTGGGCTTTCTAGCTACAGCAACCTCATCACTGTGAAATAGTCTGAGAACCGGTTAATACAGAAAGGCACTGCATGGCTCAGCGAGAGCATCTCATCAGACCTGCTGCCCACATGAAGGTCTAGATGAATCCCAACATTTTATGAAACATTACAGGATTATTTAACTTCTGTGGATCTGCATATCCTGATACTACAATTATCTATCCTGTTGTATTTTTAAAATTGTAGTAAAGCACACATATTTATTATTTTAGTTATTAACTGTGCATTTTAATGATATATTCGATGAGTAACATTCATGATGCTGTGTCAATAATGAGAAACATCTAAATTCATAATCTAGCTTCCACCTTCGGCAATGAAAGAAAAACAGCAGTGTAATGTCAAATAGAGGAAAAATACATAATGATTGCAGAAATTAAAGGAATAAAAAACAGGAAATCAGAGAAATCAACAAAACCAAAAACCAGTTATTTGAAAAGATCAAAAACATTGATAAACCTCTACCTTGTCTAACCACAATGGAAAAGAAGGAAGTCACGATGTACCAATAATATCAGTTGAAGACGAGTGGAATCAAAAATAATAATAAAGGAATATTGTGAACACATCTGTGCTCACACTTGGATACATTATATGAAATGAGCTAATTTTCTGGATCTGTTTCAGAAGGTTAAAAGTCTTCTCAAGATAAATGAATCATCTGAATAGGCCTATATTTATTTTAGAAATTGAATCAATAATTAGTATCTTCTCAAAAAAAAAAACAAAAACACTACCTTCAGATGAATTCACCGGTAAATTCTACCAAAATTCTCACAAAGAAATGTAGTCTTACCATACAAGTAACCATAATTTTAGCATTGCCTTAGTTACATTGTAAAAATTATGTTTCCAAACGAGACACAAGAAGGTTTATACCTGCTGTATTCATAATTGCCCAAACGGAAAACAAACGTCTAAATATTCTAGAAGTCCTTTACTATCAAAAGTGAACCAAGCCTGGGCAACATGGTGAAATCCTGTCTCTAACATTAAAAAAAAAATAGCTTAATATAAAGCATGTGCATTACAGCCAACTGCTTGGGAGGCTGAGGTAGAAGGATCAGCTGAACATGGGGAGGTCAAGATTGCAATGAGCTGTGATTGCACCAATGCACTCCAGGGTGACAAAATGAGACTTTCTCACAAAAATAAAGTAACAAAAAGAACCAAACTCTAAGTTGTCAACGTAACTTTCCTTGTGTAGTTGCATCACCCGTTGATTAAATGCATTTCAATGGGCACAAATGAAATAAATGAAGAACCTGACACAGCATTTACTGAGTTCCTCTCATATGGGACACTGGATGAGTAAACTGAAATTATTTGCTTCAATCAACTTCATGATATAATTTCCACACTACCTTCATTTTCACTGCGGCAAATTTTCTTGCGCCTCCTCTTTGCTGCCCAGCTCCTGGCGCCGCCAGCCAAACCTGCAAGGCAGAAATGTATCATAATAAAGACAATGCTTGACATCTTGCTGGCAGAGGACCACAGAGAAATTAGTAAAAACGTTCTCAGTTTAAACTTTTGATCCTAGTTTTCACCGAGTGCTTTTCAATGCGACCTGAATTAGATCTGGGTTCTAGGGAGATTTGTTTGTGCAGGCAGATACCTTTATTCAGATGAGACAATATAGAAAAGCAGAAGTTCCAAGTTACCAAAAAAATAGGCTGGGTTCAAATCCTACTTAGAATCTGCACATACCTGGAAGAGGGATATGAACCCATCTGTGCCTCTCTTCCCTATTCTCAGATGTGGAAACATTATTAGATCTAGGCTATAGACCTACTAATCTCTATAGTGTCTAAAAGGATGAAATGCAGATAAAGACTTAAAAAGACTCATGTTTTTGTAAATGCCCTAAAATGTTCAATCAATGTCGGGAAGAATAATCCAGACACTTGGTAGTGGTTGACTACAGAGAGGGAGCTTGCATGTCTGCGCAGGATTAGGATGGAAAGTGACTTCACAGTTTCCATGGCCACATGATTTCCAGCTCATGACAGAGATCTGTGATTTCCCTGATCCCTAAGTCAGCCCCAAGGGATAGGCAGGGAAGGGGCTACAACCCCTATTTTCAAATTCAGTGAATTCAAATTCAGACATTTTGAGTGACTTGCCCAGTCACCACAGTGAGGAGAGATAGGTCTGAGGTAATCATGTGGTTGGTTCCCCGGGGAGAGAGATCCCGGAACACCTGAGTCCTCTAGATCATGCTCTGGACCCTGGACCGAGAGCTCTTCTCACAAGCTCTGTGAAATCCTGCTGCCCCAGTGTTCTGTGGGATGGTTGAGGCTATGGAGAGGTGGCAGGTGGCTTACTGCATTTACTGACCTACTCTATTATCCCTATGTTGTCACTTTTAGTAGTTTTATGACCCATAAGGCAAATATTTTAAGTCTCTCCGTTATGATGCACAGTCTGAGATTTTACCTGAATCCACTCTTTCCACCCATCAGGTGATTCTCATCTGCTGGGCTGGAGCTGGCCTGCCGTAAAAGAGGACACACGGCATACCACGGAGTGGCTGTGTGCCCCACTCCTGCGCACACTCTTGCCTTGCTTCTGCTTTCCCAGCTCTGACAATCCTAATTCTGGCTTCCAAACCAATCCTGTACGTCCCTCTCTGTTCTCAGACCTGCCTCAACTGTTGGATATTTTAATCACTGTTGTGACCATGACTGAACGGTGACATTTCATATGCCATAGTATATGTTTATCTTTTTACATATTTCTTAATAGCATTTAACTTATTGTTTCAGACTTTTAGGAACATTTCTGGGCTAGGTGTGCTGGCCCATGGCTGTAATCCTGACAGTTTTGGAGGTTAAGGCAGAAGGACTACTTGAGGTCAGACGTTTGAGACCAACCTGGGCAACACAGTGAGACCTCGTCTGTACAAAAAATCTACAAATTACCAGATGTGGGTGAGCCCTTGTATCCCTAGCTACGTGGAAGGCTGTTGTGGGAAGATCGTTTGAGCCTAGAAGATTGAGGCTGCAGTGAGCCTATGATCACGCCACTGCCTGGGTGACAAAGCAAGACCCTGTCTTTTCACAATAAAAAGCATTACTGTGTCACAAGTATCCCCATTTTATTTCTCATTATCTAATATTGCTGTTTTCATCCTGAGGCTTAATTGCTTTAGTAAGCTAAGGAAAAAAAGTTTTTTTTTTTTTATAAAGGGTACTATTTAAAGCAGGTCATATGCATGCCTTTTTGTAAATTCTAGTTTTATATGCCATAAATCTAGAATTTACATTCTTGATGTACTGAGTCTTCTTCTTAGAACCAGCCTCCTCATATGTAACACAGTATAATTCCCATTTTACACCTGACTCCAAACATTGAGAGGATAGAATAAAATGAAAGAGCAGTCTGTATACCACGTAACGCACAATGAATCACAAAGTGAAGTTTTCTCTAACTCAAAGGCGAAAAGTGCACAGTTAGCGTCCTCTGCAGATCCCATAGCAAAATGAAATCTTGAGAAAATATGCACTTTGGCTGCCCAGTGAAGTTAGAAGGAAACTGTCACAGGTCATCATCAAGACTTCCCCAACATTGGCTTTTATTTTTAAATAATGAAATACACATGATTTCGCCTGCTTTCTTTCGTGTATATTACTGCATGTTCTCTTTGCTTTTCTGCGTACCCTATCTTGGGAATCACTCCATAGCAATAAAAAGACATCTTACTCTTTTTTACAGCTCCATACTTCTCCTTTATGTAGAAGTACCAGCTTTTTTTTTTTCTTAGAAACATTTAATAAGGACTGAGAAACAGAAGCCATGTCTATGTCTTGAGGGGTGGCAAGACAAGATGGTGGATCCCTGTGCCATTACCCCTCACAGCCCTCAGACTGAGGGCATGTATACCATAGGGAAAAGATGGTTCAGAAGGAAGGTGTGGGACAACTGAAGGTCTTTTTACATTAAAATCTTTTTACCTATAGGCAGGGTTTAGAGTAAGTACCTGCTCTACACAGTGGCTCACAATGCCCCACCCCACAGCCCCACCCAGGTGCTCACAATGCCCCGCCCCACAGCCCCATCCTGGTGCTCACAATGCCCATCCCTGCTTCTGCCCACCTGTGGTCACCGTTCCCCTCTGTGTGACATTATTCATCCTGGGCTGCCTGAGCTTTCCAGTCCTGAGAAAAGTGTGTGTGTGGAGGGGAGGGTGGGTGTTATTAAAAGTCACCCTGAGCACTGAACTCAGTAAACCCTGGTTACTAATGTCAGTTCCATTAGCATCTCTGGTTTTCTGAGTCTGGTAGCTTCCATTTGCTCAACGAACGTAGTGATACGCAAATGTTTGACTGATTTTGTACCTAAATGCTCCTCTCCTGTCTTACAAGTGTTAGTTTTTGTCTTCAATTTGACCATAGCAAAAACATGAAATGTTTCCTCTCCTCCCCTTTTCCATCCTGTAGGAAGGGGAGCCATGAAAACAAACTCTTTTCCACAGGCAGGGTCTGGCCTTCTAACTCCAAGTCTTTACCTTCCAAATTCAAGTCTAAAGTCATTTCATCTCTTTTGGAACCTGTAACCATGAGCTAGCTCTACCTGTCTTTCAGAACAAGGAGGTAAACTAAGCCCGTGACGTTACTGGAGTAGGGCTGAAGAGACGTTCATGTCAAAGTGGGAATGTTGAAGTAATCAGAGCTCCACGGCTAAACTTTTGGGTAAAACCACAACAAAAACAGCTTTTTTACAGCTCGGGCAGTAACATTTCATACCTTTTGCAGTCATTTTAAGCATGTCCCTCAATTTTTCCTTTGGTTTTCAAATTACAATTCGAAGACATAAAGCTGCTGCTGTCAAGGTGACTTCAAACCATCTATTAAGAACACCATATAATCTCTTCCAGGGCAAACTCTATTTAATATTTAAGTCTCCAAATATTTGAGTCTGAATTATCTCAATTATTAGCTTCTCTATCGAATAGGAGAAAAGAAATCATTGGGCCTTTGACCGGCTCCTTCACTGAGGTGCCATAATAGCTGGACAGCCAAGGCTAGAGAATGGGATGGAGACTCCAAAACTGGAGTATCTGAATTTTCACCAGGGAAAGGGAGAGACTAGACCAAAAAGGCCTCAAGCAAGAAGGCTCAACAACAAAGACAAGAGGCAGGACGAGCCTTTGTCCCCCATGCCCAGCCCCGGGAAAGCTGGCTATAGGCAGGAGGGAGCTGGAAGCTGAGGATCTCTGGGGTGACGGGATGGGAAGGAGGTGGGGAGGGGGTGGCCAGAGATGTGCCAGAGAGCAAATGGCACCCATGGCTTCTTTACCTTTGCGCCTCTTCGATTTTCCGGGCCACGCGGCCTGGACCTCCACCACTCCGGGATGTAACACGGCAGGCTCTGGAGTGGTGGATGCCACAGACTGGCCACGAGGCTCACAGCAGGCACAACTGGGGCCAGCGCTGGGGCACACACAATTCCCCATGTGTGATCCACAAGGGGACTGTAACAACAAAGCAACACGAAATAAAATAAAAAAACAAACAAACAAAAGAAGAAAACAAAACAAAGCAACACGCAAAAAAAAAAAAATACAAAACAAAGCAACAGACAAAATAAAATAAAACAAAGGAAAAAACAAAGCAACAGAGCAAGCGCCAAGGGCACAAACACTTCCGTGAGAGCAGTCGGAGCTCCTCCTCCTCCCACTACCAGCTTCCGACTGAAGGCTGCTGGTCCTGGCTGATGCCTGTCCCCCACAAAGCCTCCTATGTCACCTGATTGCCAGGAAACAACAAAGTCAGGCCAGTGACTCACAATGCCACTTCTCACAACCCCATCCAATGGCTCACAATGCCCATTCCTGCTGCTGGCCACCTGTGGCCACCCTGCCCCTCTTGGTGACTGCATTATTCATCCTGAGCTGCCTGAGATAATCCATTTTTCACTATAGGCCTCAAAAAATTCAGCAATGTCCCTTCATAGATTCTATATAGAGAGTGTGTCTAACCTGTGAATAAAAACAAAGGTTTCATTCTGCGTGAGAAATCCACAAACACAAAGCATTTTCACAGAATCCTTTGGGGCCCACCTCTCACCTTCAGCGTCCCCTTCTTAGTTATCTGGGCTTCTGTCTTGTATGATCTGTCAGGTTCTAGGCCTTGTAAGGGTGAGTTCCATGTCTCCACTCACTACATGTGCCCAGGACGGTTGGCTCTTGGGAGGCTCTTCATGGTGACTGAGGCCATGGATCCTTCACACTGTTCCTTGAATCCACTTGACACGAAATACTCATCCTGAAATGATGCTTTGAAAGTGATGCTTGCAGTCAATTGTGGGTCCTCTGTATTATGGATCCCTAGTACCCAATACACGGCATATAAGAAATGAATGAAAAATCAGTACATGGACTCAAGTGTGCTCACAAGGTGAGAGAAAAGTGTCCTACTTACTAGGTGTGCTA